CCCTCCCCTCCTCCTCCCTCCTCCTCCCTCCTCCTCTCTACTCCTCCTCCTCTCCTCCTCCTCTCCCACCACTCCCCCACCTCCTCTCCTCCTTCTCCGCCTCCGCCTCCGCCTCCGCCCTCCGGCCTCCGCCGCCTCTCATCCTTCCTCTCCTCCTCCTGCTCTCTCCTCATTCCTCCGACCCTCCTCCGCCTCCTCCGCCCTCCTCCGCCCTCCTCTCCTCCCCTCTTCCTTCCTCCTCCTCCTCCCCCCTCCCTCTCCTCCTCCTTCCTCCTCCTCTCCTCCTCCTCCTCCTCCATCTCCTCCGCCTCTCCCCCCCTCCTCACCCCGCCTTCTCCTCCTCCACCTCTACTCCTCCTCCACCTCCTTCCTCCTCCTCCTCCTCTTCCTCCTCCCCCTCCTCTCCTCCTCCTCTCCTACTCCTCCTCCTCTCCTGCTCCCCCTCCTCCTCCCCCTCCCTCCTCCCCCCTCCCCCTCAGCTTGAGCAGGCATGGGCGACACATCTTCAGCTACACTGCCAGGGTGCGCTCGTGCGCAAACTGTGGGGCAAATAGCTGGAGCCAAATGTTCTCATCCACAGTTCCGGTAAGCGGGGGCCTTTTGAGGCTTGTCACCCAGGAGAGGCCCGGGGGGGGTGCTGGCTCCATTTCGTCCTCTCAGTCGGCATGAACACGGTTGAGAGGATCAGACCACTTGAATCCCACTCGAATCCCCCTCTCGACCACATGCAAGACCGACCCTGGTGCGCGGCCCTTTTTGGGGGCCGCGGGGGGACCGAACAAAGACGCGAAGGTATCGCCACTACTTACCGCACCGCGCTCGGCCCTCGGGGGAAGGCCCGCAGGACCAAAGGGCACTCCGGCGAGAGGTCGTCGGTCTTACGTTTGAGCAGGGACCGACCGTCTCGGCATTCCCATAGTCCTACCACGAAATGTTCTTAGAACCCCAAAATGTTCTAAGAACGAAAACAATGTTCTTAGAACATGAACCCGATGTGATAAAACAAGACAGGGACTCCGCCAGAAATGTTCCAAGAACTTCTCGTGGAGACCGCAAAAAGGTTCTCATAACACTGTCTGGGAGGGCTGTGGGCGAGCCAGGACGCTTCGCCACTGCTCGATGCGTGTGGTCGACCCTCCCCCCCCCTTGATGGGCGTGTCTTCCACCACCACCACCATAAGTTGGAGGGGGGGGTCCTCCTCCTCCTCCTCCTCCTCTGCCTCCTCCTCCTCCTCCTCCTCCTCCTTCCTCCTACTCATCCTCCTCCTCCCCCTCCCCCTCCCCCTCCTCCTCCTCCTCCTCCTCCTCCTCCTCCTTCTCCTCCTCCTCCCCCCCCTTCTTCCCAGGCCTCCCGCGCTGCGAAGAGCCTGCGGCGCAAGGCTCTTTCGACCATTTCACTTGTCGGCCCCGGGCCGCCCCGGCCGGGCCGCGAGGCCGCGGGAGGCAGACCCACGGCGCGGCCAGCGCGGGGACTGCCCACCTGACCACCCCCACCCAACCCGACGTTCCCAAGTTCGGGTTGGCGGGGGGTACGCGCTCCTGCCTTGTCACTGTTCACCGACGCCCCCCCCCCCCCCCAGCTAGGAGAGGAGGGCAAACGGGGCCGTCGGGTGAGATTGGGGTGGCGTGATGGGTGGTGGATCAGGGACCTTGTCTCGCTGAAGCAGTTTTCAACGCCGTTCTGGGCAGTGCAGATCAAAGCAATCCAAAGCAGTGCTTGGCATTGCTGGGCGATGTGCTCTGCATTGCTTGGCGCTGCTATTGCCTTGATTCGAATCGTTGCTCGGAATCGTTGCTTGGCGTTGCTGGGCATTGTTCGGCCTTGCTGGGGGCTGCTTGCCCGTGCCTCGCATTGCTTGGCACTGATTGGCACTGCTCGTCACAGCTTGGTAACTCTGGGCAACGCCGAGGGCCGCATCTGACAAAGGGTCCCGCACCCACTGTTTTTTTTTTTTTTGTCACAAGCATCTCTGTATATACATATATGTAAAATGAAAAGAGAGATAAGAGATACAACCCAGCCATGCGATGTCTTGATTGTCAATACAATGTCCCTGGAAGTCCTGACTCTTTCTCCCCACATTCGGCGTTTCATTCGGAGCCGCGTTGTGACATCACCGCGGCCCGGCGAGGACCCCTGGAGGCCGAAACATACTCGAGAAACAATCCTCAGTTTGTCAAGACGTTGCAAGCCTGGGAAGAAGCCGTCAGGTAAAGCCTAACGAGGCAAAGACTTAGCCTGGGAAGAACAAATCAGGCAAAGCCGCAGGAAGAACCGTCTCCGGAGGACGACAAACGAAGATTGTGTCACGAGGGCCCGGAGAGGCCGAACACTACCGAACAACTCCGTCCCGAATTCGTCAGGACCTTGCACGCCTGGGTCCAGGGGCGGCGGGTGTGTACGCCCTCCTGTCGTGGCCAGGAAAGCATACACACACCCACACACACACACCGCTCCTGGGCGCCAGGATTGGCCACGGTCGGGGCGTCGATCGAAGGAACCCTGGATGCGGAACGAGGCCCCCTTTTTTCCATGAGTGGAACCTCGATCCCCCCTGGGAAACCGGAGGCAAGCTGCAAACCAACCCAGGAACAACGAAACGAATTCCTGCTTCAGCGGCCCGAGCGCAGCGGACAGTCCCGGCCCCCGTCGCCCCGCGCCGCTGGGCCACGACGACAGAAAAGGCGGCGCGGGCCTGCACACGGCGCGCCGCGGCTCGCAGGCGCGGCAGGCGAAGTGCATCTCGCCGGCCAGGATCGCGTCCGAGCAGCGGCCGCACAGCTTCGAGCCCCCGCACTTCAGCAGCACGGACTCGGCGGGGCGAGCGCGGCGGCGGCGGCGGCGGCGGGTGGGGCCTGACGAGCCGGGTGGGGGCACAGCTCAGCGTCAGGTCGGGCGTGCCCTGCTGCTGGCGGATCTTGGACGAAACATAAAAAATAATAACACACTGACGATACGAAATGAATCCACAAGAAATAAATCAATCATCAAAAATCATAGAAAAAACGTCAGCCGACTATTTTCTTACTGTTTCTGAATCTTCCTCCTGTAGAGGGACATGCCCGACTTCAGACGAGAGGAGGGGGGGCGGGGGCACAGCTTAGCGGTTAGCGAAGCAACTCACGCATCGGGCGGGAGGGAATGGGCGGTGGCCTAACTGGGGGGCGAAGGACGAGGCCCTCAGAGGGGCCCTTCGGGGCCCTGTTTAGGGCAAGCAGGGGCCCAAAAGGGCTCCTGTCGAGTCCTGTTCTCCATCCCCCAGTGAGTGAAGGGGCCCTGGGACACACAAATAAATACACACAAATAACTCGATTCACCATATTCTTCATATTTTCTAGGTTTTTGCCTTCCCCCCCACTTCCCATATTTTCGCGCATTTTCCTGGGAATCGACAATTAATTGTGTCTGTGTGTTTTTCCCCCCTCCTGAGTGAGGACACCCCCCAGTGCTACCCGCCCGAACGCCACTGGCTTCTCCAGCGCCTCCCGGCGCCGGAGGCGCCAATGCATCTCAGGGGGCGCGCAGACATGGATTAGCGATCCGTGGATTTGGCGCGCGGCCGCCAAGTCCATGGATCGGGGGAGGTGCCCTCCCCAAAAATGCGGCCGGTGCCGCCTCGCTCAGCGGCGGCCATCCGCGAGTTCCCGTGGAAACGAGACCCGCCGCTACTCCACGTTGGCGATCGCCTGAGTATCGAGGGAAGCGCCTGGCGGCGAGGGCGAAATCAGGTGCACGCATCAACGTTCGTGACCCCCCTTTTCCCGTTCCTCTGTTTCTGACTCCCACTGGCCCTACCATTAAGTCGGACACGTCCCCCTACACGGGGATTTTGGGCAAACAATCCCACCAGCCCTTTGGGCGTGAGTGGTTTAGGGAGCTCTCTCTGTCCTCAACCCCCCTTCTTCCCCTTCGGGGAGGGGTTTACCCCTCCCCCTACCCCCTCCCCCAGGGCCTGGAGAGGGCGGGCCGCGGGTCGTCAGGGGAGTCTTTTTCGACTCCTGGGAGGGCCAAAAAACGACGACCCTCACGAGGATTCTGGCCCCGAGGGGGGGGAGGGAGTTTGGCGCCTGAACTCGTCGTTGAAGTAAAAAACATTGATTTTACTACGGTTTTGGCCCCATTTTGGCCTTCTGAGGGGGCCGCGTTCCTCTTCCTTCATAGCAAAATCATTGATTTTACGAAGGTTTTGGGCTCATTTTCTCCTTCTCAGGGGCCAGCGCTCCTTTGCGCTTCAGAGGGCCCCCAAGAGGCCCCAAGAGTCCCCCAAGAGGCCCCCAAGAGGCCCCCAAGAGGCCCCAAGAGGCCCCAAGAGGCCCCAAAGAGGCCCCCAAGAGGCCCCCAAGAGGCCCCCAAGAGGCCCCAAGAGCGTCCAAGAGCCCCCCAAGAGGCCCCACGAGGAGCCCGAACGACTCACACCAGGACGAGGGGCCCGAACGACTCACACCACGAGGAGCCCGAACGACTCACACCACGACGAGGGCCCCGAACGACTCACACCACGAGGAGCCCGAACGAGTCACACCAGGAGGAGGGGCCCGAACGACTCACACCAGGACGAGGGGCCCGAACAACTCACACCACGAGAAGCCCGAACGACTCACACCAGGACGAAGAGCCCGAACGACTCACACCACGAAGAGCCCGAACGACTCACACCAGGAAGAATGGCCCGAACGACTCACACCAGGACGAGACACCCCAAACGACTCAAACCACGAGGAGCGTTTTCTCTCCCTCCTCCTCCGCCTCGTCCTTCTCCCGCTGCCCCCACAAGGAGGATGTACAAGGAGGCGGGAGGAAGAAGGAACAGGGGAGATATGCGGGGCAAAGCGGACACACGCCTGAAAAACACAACTGTCGGCATGCTTCGCAAGAGTTGCTGTTGTGAGATGGACTGGTGGGGATACGCGAAGCGTAAGAATTATAAATACCCCCGAGCAATACACCAAAAAATGCTCAAACATAGACCCAAAAAGTCCCCCGACTATTTTTAAAACTATTTTTGAGTTTCCCCCCTGTAGAAGGACAGGCCCGACTTAACCCTATCAGGCGCGTGCAAGGTCTATCGGCTACATGGCGCTGTCGCGCGCGTGCTCGGTATGCGAGCCGCCCGTCCTCCTCAGGAGATCTCCCTTTGTGGAACGGCCACGCGCCCCCTCGCCCCACCCCCCCCCTCCCCTTTGTCGTCTGACCCGAGAGGAGTGCCTCTGGGGGGGCCTCTTGGGGCCGCTTGGGGTCCTTCTTGGGGGCCTCCTGGGGGCTTCTTGGAGGCTTCTTGGGGCCATCTTGGGGCCGTCTTGGGACCTCTTGGGGCCTCCTGGGCGCCTCTTGGGGCCATCTTGGAGAAGCTCGATCAAAGAAGAGGGGAGCTTGTTTTAACGTCGCCCCCCAAAGAGGCCAGCATGGGGCCAAGACCCTAGTAAGACCAATGATTTGGGCTTCCTCGCCGAGGCCGTTTTGGACGCACTTCTCAGCTTGGCACCCCGTTGCTGCGCCAACTCCCGCCAGCTCCCGCCTGCGGCTCCGTGTGCAGTGGCCTGGCCGTGCGCCGCGGGGAAGCGCGGCCAAGCTCACCCCTCCTCGTCGGAGGGCGAGAGAGAGGGAACGCGAGTGGAGAGAGGGAAGGGAGAAAGAGGGAGAACGAGAGGGAGAGAGGGAGGGAGGGAGGGAGAGAGGGAGGGAGGGAGGGAGGGGGAGGGAGGGGGGGGGAGGGAGAGCCAGAGGGAGGGGAGGTGGAACGAGGAGGGAGAGAGAGTGGGCGGTCGACTCCGCGATCCCCCAGGCCCCGCGAAGGACAGCCCAGACCACCGCTGCACCCGACGCGATCCCCCCCCCCGCCGCATGCGTGCTGCTCTGCGTCCCCTTGTCCAACCCTCTGTGTTTTGCTCCGCATCCTGGTGTGGGTGCTTGTGCGTGTGGGCGTGCTTCCGCATCTCCTCGTCCCTCTCCCGAGATCCCGGCCCCAAGGCGCTCGGGCTGCCGGGCGCGCGGCGAACGTCGGGAGCCGGGCGAACCGCTTCAGGGGGCGGCCGCAGTCCTCGCACAGGGCCCGCAGCCGCTCGTCCTCGGGCGACCGGACGCCTTCTCGCCGCCACCGCCGTCGTCGCTCGTCTCTCCGCAGGGCGGCCCCACGCAAGAAGTTGTGAGGCCCCGCGCGATGCCCCAAGTGAGCGACAAAACACGGTGGTCTTACGCGCGATGGCATAGCGACCTTACGCGGCGGCTTACGCGGGCCGCCAGCGCGGCACGCCACGCTGAAAGCGAGTGCGCTTACGCGCCATCTTGCGCAGGCAGCTCGCACGCAAATGTCGGCGCAGTCGAACCCGTTACCCTGCGTCGCTCAAGTGTGCCCTGCCTGGCGCCCGAAATTTCATTGTATATTCAGACGTGCTGCTACTGTTGCAGCATGTGTGGCACTGGACCATCACGCGTCCTTCGCGAGCACCAGTTCTACCTTTGTTGGGCGTCAGGGCATAGCGCACCAATTCTCGTCGGCGCCGTCGACGTCGTCGTTGCAACCGTCGGCATCGTCGCCGTCGTCGTCTGCGCCGTTGGCGCCACCGGCGCGGTCGTCGTCGTTGTAGTCGTCGTTGTCGTCGTTGTCGTCGTCGTCGTCGTCGTCGTCGTCGTCGTCGTCGTTAGACGCTGCCCGTTCGGAAGTCTTTGGGTGTTTCTGGCGGCCCTCGTCGGTACGGCCAGACGCAGCTCGACAAACTGGCCGGGATGAATCCGAGGAGAGGTCTGGGGGCCAATACTGAGCGAACTCTGGTCGCCGCCGCCGTCGCCGTCGTCATCGCCGTCGCCACCGCCGCCGCCGACATCGCCACCGCCGCCGCCACCGCCGCCGTCGCCGTCGTCACCGTCGTCGTCGTCATCGTCGTCTTCGTCGTCGTCGTCGTCGTTGTCATCGTCGTCGTCGTCGTCGTCATCGTCGTCGTCATCGTCGTCGTCCTCGGGCGATGGGGGGTCAAGCGGGGGGGGGAGGGGGAGCGGGAGCAGGGAGGAGGGAGGAGTAAGGAGGAGGAGGAATGAGGGAGGAGGGAGGAGGAAGAGGAGGAGGGAGGGAGGAGGATGGGAGGGGCGGAGCCTACAGACGGGCTGCTGAAACACGGAACGACAAATAAGGAACGAATCCCCGTGTTGTCCCCGAAAGCGCCTGCGTTCACGACGAGGAGGGCCAAAGGCACAGTCATGGAAGGCCCCCAGGAACATCGAGCCCTTTCCGAACCGAACCTGTTCCTTAGTTCGTCGTCTTGACTGTATACAGGAGGAGGAGGAGGAGGAGGAGGAGGAGGAGGAAAAGGAAGAGGAGGCGGAGGAGGAGGGCAGGAGGGCAGGAAGGAGGGAGGGCCAGCGCAGAGGGACGCGGCTGCGGGCGTGGCTCGCGCTCCTGGCCACCCGCCGGGCGCGGGCCCCCGCGGAGAGGCGGGCCGGCGCTCCCGCGCCGCGGGGAAGCGCGCGGCCTTGCCACCTTTGTGCGCTGCGGTGCCCCGTGGCAGTGAAGGCGTGCGGGGGGGCGAAGCGCTCGAGTGAGACGAAGCCAGGGGGCATGGACGGATCGAGAATCTCTGCGATCTGATGGATCTGGGGGGACGTCTCGGGCTCCGCGGCCTTCTCAGAGCGCTCCGGAACGCTCTGAGAGCGTTCCGGAACGCTCTGGAGCGGCTTCGTCCTCGTCCTAACCCCGCCCGGTCGAGGCGGGAATCGGCGCCTTCGTTGGGCCGGGTGTTGCCAGAAGTGCTGGGGGCACTTTGGGCCAGGGGCACCTTCAGCGGCCCCCGATTGAGGGGGGGCGGGGGCACTCTCGTTTCGTGTGTGCTCCGCCTGCGAAGGCAGAGCCCAGCGGCTGCAGGTGTGCACTGAGCATCGCGCGCACTGCCGCTGGGTGGTGGGACCTAGGTCGCGGAGAGCCCAACTCTCCAGAATAGCCTCCTTGCGTCCTGGGCGCAGGCGGACGCTACGCTCGGAACGGCCTCGCCGTTCCTTGCCCGTCTCGCCCAGAGAAGCACCTGGGTCTGGGGAGGGGGGGGTCGGGGAGGAGGCCGGGAGGGCAGAGAGGTCGGGAGAGGGAGGGAGGGAGGTGGCAAGCAGGAGCAAGAGCAGAGGAGGGGAGCAGCAGGAGAGGGCGGGAGGAGGAGCCCCTTAAGTCAACGAGTGCACACCATGAACTGTACTGCGTGTGACGCAGAAATTTGTCGGGCAGGCGCATGGTGCCTCCAATATCTACAGTGACGGCCAGGCGTATGGTGGGGGACCTACGGTGGCCCTCCTTGCCCGCACCGTCCAGCGCGCTGCGCACCCAGCGTGCGATCGCTCGGACGTCCATTCCCCGTGCAATTTTCGGTTTCGTGCGTGTTTTTGTTGGCTCGATGGTCAAGGAGGCTGCTCAATGGCCGTCGCCGAGAAAAATGCACACGTCCGAGCGACGCCAAGCCAGGTTGGGGAAGCAGCAGAGTGCAAGGCCTGGCCACCAGGGCGGAAAAAATTGCTTGAGCATGCGCCCAGCTCGCCAGAGTCTTGTCAAGAGGCAAGCCTTTTGCACAACCTCTGAAGCACCGTCACGGGAGAAACACGAACCCCAACCCTGTTCAAACCGACGACTTGGATTTCAGATGAAAATGAACGCATATCCAACTGGAATTTCCTGAGGGCGAGTGGGCCATGGACCGCCACTGAGCAGGGCTCCTGGAACAAGGTCGGACAAACCTTGGCCCAACAGCCGCGCGCCCCACATAAGAACACCGATGCTGTGCTCCGCAAAGTGGGACTCGCGTACCGCCTCGCAATGAGAGGGGTGGAGAGGAGGGAGCCAGCCGTCCTGTCGACGGTCGTCCCTGATCGCGTGGGCCGCGTCCCACTCGGGCTCCCCGTCCTCGGAGAACGGCGACGGCGGGTTGCGAGGGCGGCGACGGCAACGACGGCGACGACGGACGACGACGGGCGACGGACGGCGGGCAGACGACGACGACGACGACAGGCGACGGCGACGAACGGTGACAGGCAAACGACGACGACGACGACGACGACGACGACGACGACGGACGGAGGGCGGCGACGACGACGACGACGACGACGACGACGACGACGGACGAAGGGGGCGCCGGACGGCGGCCGGCGGACGGGCGCCGAGCGGCGCAAGGGGGAGCGCGCGGCGGCGAGGCGGGCGGCCGTGCCGCCGGGCGGCGGGCGGGCGCCGAGCGGCGCGCGGGGGGGCGCCCGCCGGGGAGGGCGGAGAGCAGCAGGGCGAGCACTGGCCATCGCTCGGACGTCCATTTTGGACGCCCGAGTTATCCGGGGTAACTCGGGTCCGGGGTAACTCGGGTTTGGATTCCCGAAAAAGGAACCCGAGTTAGCCCTGACCCGAGTTACCACTGATGATTCGGGGCTCTGACCATTCCCTGTGTTTTTTTCGGTTTCGTGCGCGGTTTTCTCGCCAGATGATCAAGGATGCTCCTCGATGGTCCTCGCCGAAGGAAAGATGCACACGTCCGAGCGATGCCAAGAGCAAGACGCCTGGGGTTTGTGCTGTGCTTCGCGCCCTGTCCACCGCCTCGGGAGTCGCAGGCTCCGTGTCTGTCGATGGCGCCGTGCGCGCCGTGTGCCGCGTGCCCTGTTGGCAGCTGGGCTCGCTCCCGTGGAAGTCTGTGGGCATCAAGTGCGCGGGCGCATCCATGCGCAAAGCGCTCACCCCCCCCTACCTAAGCCTCCTCCCCCCCAAAAGAAAAGAGCAGCAACAACAAAAAATCATACATGCCCGATCCGTTTCTGGCACTTCGTCAAACAAGAGGTACAGAACGCTTGCATGCCACTTGCAGGCGGGGGGGTGGGGAGGAGGCCAGAATACGTCCATCGATAAGCTAAGCCGGAGAAGCTGCCACCTGGACTCAAGGAGTTGCCCACAGAACCAAAGGCGCGTAAAGGCCACCCCTAGTAGTCTCCCCAGAGGGTGCGCAATCGTTCGGACCGCGGATCGCAATTGCTCGCGGAGGGCGAGGAATGCTGGCAAACACAGCTCGCCAACTGGCACAGCTCCAGACACTACGTTCCCCATCACAACCAGCAGTGCCCATCATTCCCAGCTGTCCAGCGACACCTGTACAAGCTGCGATAGCCAGCCACTCGGAGGAGGCACATGTACTCGACCACCAAGGAGGAAATCAATGGTGACTGAGGGCTATCTCTTAGCAACAGGGCCGGATTGGGGTTCGGAAATGCCAGTCCTGCTGCCAGCTGAGATGAAGGGTCGGCGCTATCGACCCTTATATCTGAGAGATCCTCCTCCCACTCGAGCCTACCAGCTGCAGACCCGCTGGGCCAGAAATCAACGATGGGAGAAGAAGGAAGCCCCCGAGAACTCGCTTCTGGCAAACGTTCACCCTGTCGTTCGGACCCTGCACGCCAAAAAGCAAAAGCCGAGCAACTGAACAGAGAGGAGGAGGAGGAGGAGGAGGAGGAGGAGGAGGAGGAGGAGGAGGAGGCCCCTTATCGGCGATGAATGGGCGACTGGGGGTCGACGGACGCATCCCCCCTGAGCCTATCAACCCCTCAAACGCTGCCGCTGAAGGAAGCACTCCGAGCCGAATCCAGGTGGATGAGAGGGAGGAGGACGATTGGGCGTGGCTTAATGGGGGGGTCACAAATGGGGGGTCAGAAAAGGTCCCCTTTCGTGCCCCTTTCGGGTCCCTCCAGAGCCCCAGGGGGCTCGTTTAGGTACCGTTTGGGTACCTTTTCGGACCACCCTCGCCGCCCCCCAGTTACGATCCCCCCGTTACGCGACGCCCAAGACGAGGAGGACGGGGGGGAGTCGGGGGTTGCTCAAGGTGCCCCTGGCCCAAGGTGCCCCCAGCTTTTCGCTCCACTTTGGGGCCCCTGGGGCCCCCTGGACCTCGTGAGGGGTGCTCTGGAGGCCGTGGTGGGTCCTCCTTGGACATCCTGGGTCACGAAACTCGGCCCGCAAACGCGAGTGAAAGCTGAGGAGAAGAAGGAGGAGGAGGGCACCTTGGGCCAGGGGCACCTTGGGCCAGTGGCACCTCTAGCAACACCCGAGGGAGACGGAGGAGGCGGAGCAAGGGGAGAGCGTTCGGTGGCAACTCATGGGAGCCTCCCATACCCTCTTGTCGGCTCTTGCGAATCGACGCTAGTCGACGCTAAATCGACGCTAATCGACGCTAGATCGACGCTAAATCAGCGCTACCTCATCGACTCCCAGACGCTAATCGACGCCAATCGACGCTGAAGACAGCAACACGAGGGTACACGAAACTTCCAGTTGGACGCCCGAAACGGTACGGAAAAGATGGGTACAATGCCCAACAACAAATGCCGTCCCAAGCCAACACAGCGGCCGCTGTTGGGCAGGCGGCCTTCTGTCTCAAATGGACACAGGCCGCGGCGGCGGGGACAGCGAGTCCTGTACAAAATGACCAGGAACTGCTGTTGGGCATTGTGCCCTTTCTTTCCGTATCCATCTCGTTCGTGCCGAAGGACTTGCTGCCGAAAGAGTGGCCGGTGCCAGACCCGGCCCCGGCGCCCCTCCTCCGAGCCGCTGTCGCTGGAGATGGACGTGCCCGCCGCCCCCCGCGCCGTCTCGGGGGGCCGAGGGAGCGTCAGGCCTGGGGGGCACGCCTCGGGGAAGGAGGGGGGTCGGCGGCGAGCGACAGGCCTCGGATAAAAATAGCGAACACTCATGCCAAATTCATCTGTGAACGCCTCCCCCTCACCCCACTGTTCAAAGTTGGCGGTGGGTCTGATGAGTTGCACGTGTCAGCTTTGAGTTTGGGGGACAGGGGGGGCGTTCACTAATGGTTTCCCTCTACCGGAGGGAGGCCGAGGCAGAGAAGGAGACGACCTTCTCAGAAGGCGGCGGGGCTTCTCAGAAGCCAGCGGGCCTCCGGACGAGTGTTCTGTGTCTTCGGGGGGCGCAGAAAAAGACTTCTCGGAAGGCTGGGGGGCTTCCGAGCCTTCTGAGACGGCCCGCCCCTTCTCGCCTCCCCGCCCCGGGCTCACCGCCGTCAGGGAGGGGGGAGTAGCAGAAGGGGGGCCGGCGAAGCAGCTCACGTGACTCGGCCGGTCTGTCCAGGCGCCTCGTGGCGCCAGAGGCGCCGAAGATGCATCGAGGAGAGCGCGCAGCGGCGGGGCCAGGACCAGCCGCATGAAGCAGATGTCCCGTGTCTTCTGGTTCGGGCGGTGGGCAAGCCTGCCTTTGCTAAACCTCCCCTTAGTGACGACGGCCTGGGGCCGAAACCGACGGACCTGGACCCGCAGAGACACGACGGCCGCGACGCCCTCTCGCGAATCGAACACGGCCAATTCCTTAATCGACGTGTGAGGGTAGGAGGTCCGTCCACCCTCGACCTTCCCCTACCGGAACCGCGGGACGGCGAGGGGAGGACGGGGCACGGCACGCTCACCAGTGTCACGAGCAAAGGCCTCCCGAAAACTACAGACTTCTAAAGCTTGCTCAAGCTCTGGCGGGGGCTCGAACGTCCCACTGGAGGGCAGCGACGGCAAGAGGAGTTGGGAGACCCGCTTGGAAGTCAGGCACTCTGCAGGCAGCTCGGTGGGGCAATTCGAGACGATGAGGAGGGCAAGGAGGAGGGCAGTTGCAACAGGAGGAGAACAACAGCAACGGCGCCGACGACGATAACAACGACAATGACAGCGACCAGGTACTACTGCGACTGTGATGACAACGACGGCGAGGGCAAAGGCGGCGACGACAGTGGCGGCTACGACAACTATAACGGTGACAGCGGCGACGACGACAGCCGTGGTGGCCCATGCTTTGTGGGCAAACCTCCTGTTCTGTCCTGTTCAATGTTTCCCTCCTACTCCTCCCCCTGCTCCTCCTCCTCCTCCTCCTCATTCTCATTATCAGTGTCCTCCTTCTCGTCGCGGCTCATCATCACCACCATCATCATCATCATCATCATCATCATCAGCATCATCAGCAAATCAGCATCAGCATCAACATTATCAGTATCACCATCATCACCATCATCATCAGCATCATCAGCAGCATCATCATCATCATCATCATCATCATCATCATCATCATCATCATCAACATCATCATCATCATCATCATCATCATCATCATCATCATCATCATCATCATCATCATCATCATCATCATCATCATCATCATCATCATCATCATCATCATCATCATCATCATTATCGTCGTGGTCATCATCGTCATCAGCATCATCATCAACATCATCATCAGCATCCACAGTATCATCTTTATCAGTATCCTCATCATCATCGTCAGCAGCAGCATCAGCATCATATCGTCTTCATCCAAATCATCAGCGGCGACATCCTCATAATCCTCACAATCGTCATCCGCATCGTCGTCGTAATCATCATCAACACTACCACCACCACCATCATCATCATCACCAATATCATCACCGCTATCACCATCATTACCATCATACTAATAATCAGCAGCAACATCAACTCCTTCGTCATATCATCAGCAACATCATCATCATCATCAGCAGCAGCATCATCCTTATCAGCATCATCATCGTCATCGTCATGCACATCCTCATCCGTATCATCCTCATCCTCCTTTTCACCCTTCTCATCATCCACATCGGCATCAACATCATCGGTATCATCATCGTCGTCAGCATCATCATCAGCAGCATCATCGATCCAAGCATCATCAATGTCCTCCTCCACACCATAAACCATCATCAGACACAGCAGCAGTAGCAGCAGCAGCATCAGCATCATACTCAGCATCAGCATCAGCATCAACATTGTTGTCCTCCTCCTCATCATCAGAAGCATCATCATCATCATCATCACCATCATCAGCATCATCATCATCATCACCATCATCATCATCAGCATCATCATTCTAATCCTGGCCCTCTGTCTCCCCCTCTCGTTACTCCCCATTATCGTGCTGCTCTCCTTCCTCCCATGCTCCTCCCCCAGCTCCTCCTTCTCCACCACCTCCTCCTCCTCCTCGTCCTACTCCTCCGCCATCCCCAGAAACGCTGCGACAAAGTAGGGACACATACGTGAAAAAGTGCTGACACCTGCGATAGCGCCCGAAAGCCCCACAAGATCGCCGAACACTATCATCTGTCCTCGTCCGCCTCCTCCCCCTCCCTGGTCCGATAGGCCTTTACTTTGCTTTTGCTCCCCCCCTCCTCCTTCCGCTCCCCCTCCACAAGAGGGGGGGGGAGAGGAGAACGAGGAGCGCCCATGGCTCTGGAGGAAAGAAGGGGGGGGCAGTGCGGAGGAAGGAGGAGGAGGAGGAGAGCAGGAGGGCGGAGAGAATAGACTTTCGCTGGACTTCGCGGATGTCTACGCAGTGGCTGCGAATGCAGCCACAGACAAACACCCTGGCGGCGACCCACGGAGAGGTCGGCCTCCCGCCCGACGGTGCTCCGCGCGCCGCGAGCGGCAATGACCACTTGCGACGGGCCCGTGACGGGCCAGGGAGAGAAGGCCCTGCGGAATTCGCTTTGACGTTCTCGTAGCCTTTTCTCGCTGTGGAAAAAGGAGCCCTCTGTAATCACAGCCGTACCTAAGCCGGAAAGACATCCGCCAAGAACACGAGACCCTCCGCCATCCAAAACAAACATAACATCCGAGGGTCCCCCATGCGCAAAAACAACTAGCAAACAC